GGTAAAACCAATAAATTCTCATTCGTAATGTCACCCATAAGCAACTCTTTACGAAACATTTCCTTAAAAAGGACACCTTCGATGACGTCCAAAGATCTAGGCATTACTATAGAGTCACTATAGTGGAAGCTAGGGTAGTGATTCGAAAGGAACTCGATATAATTGGGTTCGTAGGAGCCATCCCTAATCATATTAATGATGACATCAGGGTCGTACATGTTCTGAAAAATGGGTTCATGAATAGTGACATTCGTTAACAACAAGTTACGCAAGAATTCATTGTTGAGGAGCTTGAGGGCCGCGCTATCGTAAGCTCGTGCTGCGGCTATTTGAGAGTTGAACGTTCCTAGCAAAATATGATTTTTTTGAATGAAGATTTTAGCCCCCCAATGACCATTTTGCTGACAAAATACTCCTTCAAACTTCGACAATGGCGATGCTAATTTCAGTTGCCCTGCATGCGAAGATGAAATCAAATGCGATGGTCCTTCATTTTGTTCAGCCATACGTACCTCTTGCTCTGCTTGTGTTGATGGAATCGTAGACGATGTGACCTCGTCAGATTGTTGTTTTTGCGCCGATTTGGGGATATTCATTGGAAAGAACTCCTTTTCTATAGGAGAGCTGCACAAAGAGCGGCCATTTTCTTGATTTTTAATTTTACAAAGAATATTTCTCTTGAAATATGCCAATTAAAAAGAAAAATAAAACATTTTCTTATGCATGTTTTAAAGCAACGGAGTATCTTCTTGAGTTAGAATGTTAGCAGGGACTTACATTGTTGGCGTTGAGGATTTTGATTGAAGACCGGGTTTTGACGGAGGAATGAAGGGACTTAAAATCTGTGCATGGCAATCCAAAAGGTGGGAGATAAATAGGAAAAGCCAGCCAAATTGTGGGCTGGAATGATGGGGAAATATATCTAAGAATGGCTGTTGGTATGTATTACCACTTCAATGTGGTTGCGTGGCTGTGCGGCAGTGCTTTCGTTCCGGAGGATGAATATTTATCTCTTACGGTTTTGAATTCATACCTTCATTGGGGTTCTTTTGCAAAAAGCTGTTTGTTTGTTATAAAAACAACGGCACTGCTTCAAAGGTGTGCGTTGGATGAAGCTATAACGGCACTGCTTCAAAGGAGTGCGTTGGATGAAGCTATAACGGCCCAATTGGCCAGCGAGACGAGAACGGAGAATGCCTCACATACCTTATTTAAAACTAATTTAATATTATTTATAGAAATGGGTTTGAAAATATAACCACACCCAACTCTTATATATATATATATATATATATATATAAAGTGTGGATGATTGGATATGATTTTAATTTGAGTTTGGAATGGAATCAAATTGAAATTAAATCGAGCAAATGTGAAGCTGATTATTATCTGGTTAAAAAGTTAAATGTCAAATAATAATGTTTTACATACTATTATTTTTTACACCGTATATACAATATCACTTTTTTAGTTAGAAGTGTAAGCTTGATGGACAAATTAAGGCTTTTTTTGAGAAGATAGTGATGTTTTGTTTCATTATAGTGAATGCCAATGTGTGTTAAAACATTTAATTAGCAACTAATGTTTCTCAAAAGTCTTCCGAAGTTGTTGCTTTTAAATGACAAGCTTTCACCATTTTAGATCACGATTGGCCTGGAGAGCTTTGACGAACGATAGAACTTCTTCAAACGAAGCCTAAACCCACTATAATTTTGAAAATAAAAAATCACTCTACACCATAAATTTATTTACTTTATTTGATAATTTTTGTTTGGGTGAATTCAAATTACTTTGGCTTAAAGTTTAGGATTAGAGAAATCGGGTACTCATGCATTTTTGAATGGTTAATTGAAAGAGATTAACATGCATACCACTTAATTCCTATGTATTTACATATATAACGCATAAATTTCAATATTTAGATACGTGTCTTCTTATCTATTCATTAAAAAGTATATTTTATTATTTTAAAAATAAAATGGTGATATTTTTAATGTAATATGAAATATTTCAGTGGTATAAACATACTTATTTTTGAAGTATGGGCACAAAGAATGAAGAAATATCTAAGTGGAAATATATTTCATATTTAATAGGATAAAATATTATTTGATTCTCTAAATACTAATAAATGATTAAGTTTAAACCAATAATTTATTTTTAATTAACCCTATACTTGTTGGTAAAGTTCCCTTAAGCCCAACTAACTACTATAAATATTTTCGAGGGGTGGCAAATTAAAAGATATTTATAATTTTAATTATTTAAACAATCTTTATGATCAACCCAAATAAATAAAATTGTTTAAAAATCAAATAATTTAATGTAATTTTAAGCAACCTATGTGATCATCCCAAAAGTATTCATGAAATGTTGAGTTAGACTTTAAGCCAGCTCAATTTTTTTAAACATTAATTAAATTTAGTAAAAATTAAATAATTAACTATACATTATTAATTAAGTTGAACTTTAAGAAATCCAAGAAATAGTCCAAATAGGCTTAAGAAATTTAAACTAAAAAACCATAAAATATCCTAAGAAATTTGAGTAAAGAAAAATAAAAAACTAATTTATTATTTAATTTTAATAAATAAACAAAAGAAATCACATGAAAATCTAAAAAAAAAAATCAAATAATACTATAAAAATTATTGAAGCTCCAATGGATTATCCCAAATCTCTCATGTAATTTTCATACTTAAGGAATTAATTATAATTAATAAATAAATTTAATATTTAAAATGTTTAAAATTTATAAAAGAAATTCCAATGAATCACAAAATTTAATGGTAATAATTCTAATTAAGGCTCTCTAGCGATTTACATAAAATTTGGTATTAATTAAAGTCTTAATTTGAATTTATATTATAAAATAATATAAAATTCCCAACTGTTCAATATAATTCAAAATAATTCCAAATCATTTTGAGAATATTTGCTGGTCACCCTTGTACAATAGGACAAAAGGCTAACCGGAGGTTTAAATTTTCGTCTGTAAAAAGAGTCTTATTTTTTGACGAATTTACGACGATTTACGTATTGATTTATTTCCAATGACATTTCAGGAGCACATACCATCACTTATGAACAATAGATTAGTTTATGTTGGTCTTTATCATAACCGACACATTTCACCGTCGTTTATAAGCACATAATAATCGACGGTCATATGTCGTGGGGCTATTTACAAACCCAATATTTGGCGGGGCGTTAACCAACAAGTTGTTTCAGAAATTGACGATCAGTGTTGTTCATATTAATGTTAAGAACATACGGAATTGAAGTCGTCAAAAGAATCATATATTCCACCAAAATTAGCTACGCCCCCGAACTTTACTTAATACTAATCCCCCCCCCGAACTTTACTTAATACTAATCCCTCTCGAACATCCCCCTTGGCAACTCCAGTGCCCCGACAACTTCAGTGACTCACCCACTCCAACTTTCAAATGTACGGTTAGATGTTCTTACAGGGCATACACCAGGCCGGGTTTGATACTAATTTTTGTGTAGGACAATGTGGCAAACAAAATCACAAAATAAACAAAGAATTAAATGTAGTGTGGTTTACGTGGTTCAGCTCAAATCCACCTATGTCTACGAAGAGACAATATTCCATTATCACCAGATAGGGAGAAAGATAAGAAAATACACAAAAAAATTTACCCTAACCCCTCGCATAAATAAGAGAGGATTAGTGCATCTTAATAAGAAAATAAAAAATGACATATTGGCCTACTTTCACAAATAAGTCTTGAATACAACAAATATAGGATTATTTAGATAATCTTACTTTTTTTTTTTTGATCTATAGCTTTTGTCTATATTTAAATTGGATTTATTTATATTTTAGAAAATTTTAAAATATTCTAATTTAATTGGTGTGTACTTTTATTTGATCTAAAGATAATTATAGTACATTTATATCAATATTAAATGGCCTTGATTAAATAATAAATTGTTCATGAAATAACACTCCTAGATACTTGATAGACGGAACGTTTTGCATTCAATCAAAGACATGGATGTCAGCTTCAGCCCTGCAGTTCGTCCCGGGTGATTCTAACACCTCGGATGATGTCAACCATATCAAAAGTTTCTTCAGGCAAAAAAATTTTCAGGAAGCGTTCTCCGTCCCAACATTGATAAAAGACGACAATGTCGTCAACACGAAGCTCCATCTCACTTACAAACTAGCTCCAACCCCTAGTAAGTATAGATCTCTGAAAATGAGTCCAGTAAAAGTATTGAAATGCCCATGTCCGATTCATTCTGTCTTTAAACTCAAGCCAAAATTGGACTCTATTGGACCTTATTCGTGGAAAGAAGGGCCGAGCATCAATGGGTAAAATCAATACTTTTTGATGCTCGAGATCAGTCAAAGTCAGCTCTTTATGAAACGTTCCTAGCAATATAAGACGGTCAATACATAATATTTGAGCAACCCAATAGCAATTTTCTTGGGGAACTACACCTAGATACCACAGTGGCGGTGCATTTACTCGTTGTCTTGCCTGCGTCGATGAAATCGTTGACGACTCGCCCTCCACAGGTAGTTGTCGAGGGGGATTCATCACAATTATCTCATTTCTCAAAGTAGAACTCCTACAAAAAGCACATCCATTCTCTTGATTTTTAATTTTATAAAGCATCATTCTTAGCCGACTAAAAAAAAACTTATTTCGATGCATATTTTCAAGCAATGTAGTGAGTTAGAATGTTTGTAGCGACTTACATTGTCGGTGTTGAGGATTTGGACGGAGAAATGAGATGAATTATATTCTGTGCATTGCACTCCAAAATGTGGGAGAAAAAGAGGAGAAACCAGCCAAATTCTGGGCTCGAAAGATGAAGAAATAGATCTAAGGGGAAATATCGGTGAGAAAGAAGCTCAGATTAAAATGGTTGCTGTTATGTATTACCACTTCAATGTGATGCGTGGCAGTGAGTTTAGTTCCGGAGAATGAGTATTTCTAGCTTACCGTTTTGAATTCATTCCCTTCATAGAGGTTCTTTTGCAAAAAGATGCTAGCTTTTTATAAAAGCGAAATGACTTGTTCAAAGGAGTGCTTTGAATAGATTTGGTTTGGTTAGCAATGCATGCATGGAATGTTACCGTGGAATTTTATAAATCGAATGATTCATAATTTAATGGCAATAATTAAAGGTCCTTTTTTAATTAAAAAAGTAGAAAAAAGCGGCCATACTTAGATAATTAAAATAATTAAAATGAATCACCACTCATTGGAGCTGGGATAGATGAAAATGAAAGCATTAGGGTTTAGGTCTCAATATTATCTCCTAGCCCAAAATGAAAGAAGAAGAAAAATACTTTATTTTTTTTCCTTGCTAAATGACACGTCCAAACTATGGAAAATTGCTTACTGACCAAAAGAAATATGTTAAGATTCTCATACCTATTTTACACTGATTTTGATGATATTCCACTTTAAAGAAATGTAATTTTGATGTTTTGTGTAATTTTGATGTTTTGTTGCTGTAATTTTGATGTTTTGTTGCAGATATGTTGAATTATGGTCATTTAGAGTGAAAAGAAGCAAATTTGGAGCGAAAAGAACCAACGTATGAAGATTTGAACTTGGCGCCGACGGCCAACCCAACGACACTGACGGCGGGTTTTTCCCGAGAGTTCAGAATCAAATATTCCAGAAAGCCGCCGACGGCGCCCTCGAGGCCGCCGACGGAGAGATCGGCGGTTATCTCAACAATTGCATTGAATGTGGACGATTTTTTAGGGGATGCTTAGGCAACTCTTTCGAAAACTCTTCTACAAATTTAAGAGAAATTTTTGGCCAAAAAAGGAGAGTGTGTAGAGCGTGGAGAGTGTGTAGAGAGTGTAGAGTGTGCAGAGAGTGTAGAGAGGGAGTGTTGAGTGTAGAGAGTTTAATTTAGGGTTAAATTGTGGGGAATTCTTCGAGAGATTGTAAGAGTGGAGTGAAAGAGAGATTTCTTCTTCCTTGCCGCTTCGAAGAAGAATTTTGTAAAAATTTTGTGTACTATAAAGAAAGGAAGAGATTCAGAGGAACTTCGAGGAGTTTGCTTGAGGAGGAATTAGAGATAAGTGGTATTTATTGTAGTTTGTATGACTTTGCTTTTATATATAAATTTCGAGTTTTGTCGTATCTTCCCAATGAGTTTAAAAGATCCTTGTTTTATTTCATTGTTCTATAGCTTTTCTCAAGATTTATATTGGATTTATGTATATTTTCTATCTACCTTAATTTTATCATAATCTAATTTAATTGGTATTTACTTTTTTTTTAAACTATATTTTTATAGTTTACTAATTTTATTAAAAGTTATATTTTTTATTTTTAATTATTTGCAAATAAATGTTAAATATATTATTTGAATTAATCACCTTCTTAGATGTATACAAAGTATATGTTCATAAATTTATTTAATTTAAAATGGTATTCATGTATATGTTATTTTTCACTAATTTAAAACATCAAAGGGAATTTACATACATACCACTGGAAACATATAAATTCACATATCCAACATCTAAAATTTTATTTTTATATTTCTAACACTCAAAACTCATTAACAACACAGTAATTCATTCAAAGTTGTTGCTCTCCGTGAAGGTTTAGAAGTTGTAAGCTCAAGGCTTTGTCCACTTACCGATAAGACACTTAACGCGCATTCATAGAAAAATCCTCTTGGTAATAATGATGAAGGATGGGCGGCCATGGCAATAATGATTTTATGCATTAAATAAATATGGCAACATGAGACATAAAATAAGAGAGAATTCTCAACCAAATCACTTAACAATAAAACAAGCTAGTTTGCAGCCCTTAATTACTTATGAATAATCAATGTCTGAAAAAAAAAGAAGCATCTCATAACTATTGTGTCCGTACTTTGCACACATCATAAAAACTGTTATTACTAAGTACTAATTACAATAAAAAATTAAATATTCAGGTTCAATCAAATAAAACCGTTCTTATTCTAAACATATGATCTTAGAAAATTTTCAAAATTTTTGAAGAGGAATAATCACTGCTATATAGCATTTAAGCTTCCACATGAATGAGGCTCAATACCGCCGCTGCATCTAACGATTTTTGACACCCCGGATGACATCAATCATACTAAAAGAGCTACAAGGAAAATTTCGCATGTCCTTACATCCGTAGAAGAGGACAATATCATTAACGCGAAGCTCCATCTCATTGAAAAATTTTTTCCAACCCGTGGTGATTACATAAATCTGAGGATTATTCGTACGACATAATTGAAACACCCATGACCGATACCTCCTGTCTTTATATTCAAACCATAGTTCGTCTGGGTTGGAGTTCCATGGATGAAAGCACGGCTGAGCTTCATTAGGTAAAACCAATAAATTCTCATTTGTAATGTCACCCATAAGCAACTCTTTACGAAACATTTCCTTAAAAAGGACCCCTTCGATGGAGTCCAAAGAAGTGGGCATTGCTACAGAGTCACCATATCGGAAGCTAGGGTAGTGATTCGAAAGGAACTTGATGTAATTGGGTTCGTAGGAGCCATCCCTAATCATATTAATGATGTCATCAGGGTTGTACATGTTCTGAAAAATGGGTTCATGAATAGTGACATTCGTTAACAACAAGTTACACAAGAATTCATTGTTTAGGAGCTTGCGGGCCGCGCTATCGTAAGCTCGTGCTGCAGCTATTTCAGACGAACGTTCCCAGCAAAATATGATTGTTTTGAATGCATATTTTAGCCCCCCAATGACCATTTTGCTGACAAAATACACCTTCGAACTTTGACAATGGCAGTGTAAATTTCAGTTGCCCTGCATGTGAAGATGAAATCAAATGCGATGGGCCCCCACATTGTTGAGCCATACTTACCCCTTGTTGTGCTTGTGTTGATGGAATCGTAGACGATGTGGCCTCGTCAGATTGCTGTGGTTTCTGCGCCGATTTAGGTGTATTCATTGGAAAGAACTCCTTTTCCATAGGAGAGCTGCGCAAAGAGCGGCCATTTTCTTGATTTTTAATTTCACAAAGAATATTTCACATGAAATTTACCAATTAAAAAGAAAATAAAACATTTTTTATGCATGTTTTAAAGTAGCGGAGTGTGTTGGGTGAGTTTGAATGTTAGCAGGGACTTACATTTTTGGCGTTGAGGATTTTGATTGAAGAACGGGTTTTGACGGAGGAATGAAGGGACTTAAAATCTGTGCATAGCGATCCAAAAGGTGAGAGATAAATAGGAAAAGCCAGCCAAATTCTGGGCTGGAATGATGAAGAAATACATCTAAGAATGGTTGCTGCTATGTATTACCACTTCAATGTGCTTGCGTGGCTGTGCGGCAGTGCTTTCGTTCCGGAGGATAAATATTTCTATCTTACGGTTTTGAATTCATGCCTTCATAGGGGTTCTTTTGCAAAAAGTTGTTTGTTATAAAAAAAATTCGACTGCTTCAAAGGAGTGCGTTGGATGAAAATATAACGGCCGCGATTGGCCAGCGTGACGAAAACGGAGAATGCCTTGGATACCATATTTAAAACTAACTTAATATTATTTATAGGAATGGGTTTGAAAATATAAATTCTTTTATTATTAATGAACCACATCCAACTCTATATATATATATATATATATATATATATATATATAGAGTGTGCATGATTGAATATGATTTTAATTTGAGAGTTTGGAATGGAATCAAATTGAAATTAAATCAAACAAATGTGAAGCTGATTATTTTACAATATTATTATTTTTACAACGTTTATAAAATATTACTTTTTCAGTTAAAAGCGTAAGCTTGATGGAAAAATCAAGGTTTTTTTTGAAAAGATTTTGAAGTTTTGTTTCATTATAGTGAATGTCAGTGCGTGTTAAAACATTTAATTAGCAACTAATGTCTCTCGAAAGTCTTCCGAAGTTATTGCTTAAAAATGACAAGCTTTCGCCATTTTAGATCACAATTGGCTTGAAGAGCTTTGACGAACGATAGAACTTCTTCAAACGAAGCCTAAACCCACTATAATTTTGAAAAAAAATAAATCGCAGTACACCATAAATTTATTTATTTTATTTGATAATTTTTTGTTTGGGTTAATTCAATTAATTTGACTTAAAGTTTAGGATTAGAGAAATCGGGTACTCATGCATTTTTGAATGGTTAATTGAAAGAGATTAACATGCATACCACTTAATTCCTATGTATTTACATATATAACGCATAAATTTCAATATTTAGATACGTGTCTTCTTATCTATTCATTAAAAAGTATATTTTATTATTTTAAAAATAAAATGGTGATATTTTTAATGTAATATGAAATATTTCAGTGGTATAAACATACTTATTTTTGAAGTATGGGGACAACGAATGAAGAAATATCTAAGTGGAAATATATTTCATATTTAATACGATAAAAGATTATTTGATTCCCTTAATACTATAAATATTTTCAAGGGGTGACAAATTAAAAGATATTTATAATTTTAATTATTTAAACAACCTTTGTGATCAACCCAAAAAAATAAAATTGTTTAAAAATCAAAAAATTTAAGGTAATTTTAAGCAACCTATGTGATCACCCCAAAAGTTTTCATGAAATATTTAGTTGGACATTAAGCGAGTTCAATTTGTTAAACATAAATTAAATTTAGTAAAAATTAAATAATTAACTATACATCATTAATTAAGTTGAAGTTTAAGAAATCCAAGAAATAGTCCAAATAGGCTTAAGAAATTTAAACTAAAAGACCATAAAATATCCTAAGAAATTTGAGTAAAGAAAAATAAAAAACTAACTTATTATTTAATATTAATAAATAAACAAAAGAAATCACATGAAAATCTAAAAAAAAAAATCAAATAATACTAAAAAAATTATTGAAGCTCCAATGGATTATCCCAAATCTCTCATGTCATTTTCATACATAAAGAATTATTTATAATTAATAAATAAATTTACTATTTAAAATGTTTAAAATTTATAAAAGAAATTCCAATGCATCACAAAATTTAATGCTAATAATTCTAATTAAGACTCTCTAGCGATTTACATAAAATTTGGTATTAATTAAAGTCTTAATTTAAATTTATATTCTAATTAAGGCTCTCTAGCGACTCACCCACTCCAACGTTCAAATGCATTGTTAGATGTTCTTACAGGACATACACCAGGTCGGGTTTGATACTAATTGTTGTGTAGGACAATGTGGCAAACAAAATCACAAAATAAACAAAAAATTAAATGGAGTGTGATTTACGTGGTTTAGCTCAAATCCACCTATGTCTACAAAGAGACAATATTCCATTATCACCAAATAGGGAGAAAGAAAAGAAAATGAGCCTTAAATAGGGTGACAACTCTACAAAAAAAGAAATTACCCTAACCCCTCCCATAAGCAAGAGAGGATTAGAGCATCTTAATAAGAAAATAGAAATTGACATATTGGCCTACTTTCACAAATAAGTCTTGAATACAACAAATATAGGATTATTTAGATATTCTTATTTTATTTTTTTGTTCTATAGCTTTTGTCTAGTTTTAAATTGGATTTATTTATAATTCAGAAAATTTTAAAATATTCTAATTTAATTGGTGTTTACTTTTATTTGATCTAAAAATAATTATAGTACATTTATATCAAAATTAAATGCCCTTGATTAAATAATAAATTGTTTTTGAAATAAATGCAATATAGTTGAAATATAATCGGCGTTTGGTTTGATATATGATAAATGCAAGGATTAAAATTTTTGTGTTTGATTCGAGGAAAATTGAAATTAAAGCATTATCATCATAACCGATGAGCGGCAATAGTTCTAATTATTTTATGCAATAAGTGAAATAAATCTTACCCTCATCACTTCACAATAACACAAAATAATTTGCAGCATAAATAAATGTTTATGAATAATGTTTGAAAAAAAAAGTCTCATAGTAATCGTGTCTGCACTCTGCACGAATCATCGAAAATCTTATTACCGAGTACGAATTGCACCAGAAAATAAAAATAATATATTTATCTTCACTAAAAAGTCTCTTCCTAAATTTTTGAAAAAGAGTAACACATTGCTAGATACTTGATAGGCGGAACGTTTAGCATTCAATCAAAGACATGGATGTCAGCTTAAGCCCTACAGCTCGTCCTGGGTGATTCTAACACCTCGGATGATGTCAACCATATAAAAAATTTCTTCAGGAAACTTTCTCCGGTCCCAACATTGATAAAAGACGACAATGTCCTCAGCATGAAGCTCCATCTCACTTACAAACTTGCTCCAACCCCTAGTAAGTATAGATCTCTGAAAACGAGACCAGTAAAAGTATTGAAATGCCCATGTTCGATTCATTCTGTCTTTAAACTTCATTCTATCTTTAAACTCAAGCCAAAATTGGACTCTATTGGACCTTATTTGAGGAAAGAAGGGTCGAGCATCAATGGGTAAAATCAATACGTTTTGATGCTCAAGATCACTCAAGGTCAGCTCTTTTTGAAACATTTTTTTATAAAAGACTTCTTGGATGGCGTCCAGGCAAGTAGGCATTTCTATAGGGCCACGGTAGCGGTAGTTACGAATGTGATCCGAAACAAAATGGATCAACCTGAGTTCGTAAGAGTCATCCCTAATCATTTCAACAATGGTTTCATCGGAGTAATTGCTTTGAAAAGAGGGTTCATGAATAGTAACACTCGTTAATAAAAAATTACGGAAGAAATCATCGCCGTACTGTGTTATGGCCGCACTATCGTAAGCTCGCGCCGCAGCTACTTCAGAATTGAACGTTCCTAGTGATATAAGACGGTTAATAGATAAGATTTGAGCAACCCAATAGCCATTTTCCTGGGGAACTACACCTAGATACCACAGTGGCGGTGCATTTACTCGTTGTCTTGTCTGCGTCGATGAAATCGTTGACGGCTCGCCCTCCACAGGTAGTTGTCGAGGGGGATTCATCACAATTATCTCATTTCTCAAAGGAGAACTCCTACAAAAAGCACATCCATTCTCTTGATTTTTAATTTTATAAAGCATCATTCTTAGCCGACTAAAAAAAAAAACCTATTTCGATGCATATTTTCAAGCAATGGAGTGAGTTAGAATGTTTGCAGCGACTTACATTGTCGGTGTTGAGGATTTGGACGGAGAAATGAGATGAATTATATTCTGTGCAGTGCACTCCAAAATGTGGGAGAAAAAGAGGAAAAGCCAGCCAAATTCTGGGCTCGAAAGATGAAGAAATAGATCTAAGGGGAAATATCGGTGAGAAAGAAGCTCAGATTAAAATGGTTGCTGGTATGTATTACCACTTCAATGTGATGCGTGGCAGTGAGTTAGTTCTAGAGAATGAGTATTTCTCTCTTACCGTTTTGAATTCATTCCCTTCATAGAGGTTCTTTTGCAAAAAGATGCTAGCTTTTTATAAAAGCGAAATGACTTGTTCAAAGGAGTGCTTTGAATAGATTTGGTTTGGTTAGCAATGCATGCATGGAATGTTACCGTGGAATTTTATAAATCGCGATTATAAAAGTGTTTGAGACATAAACCTAAACAACTTTTAAGAATCATTTGAATTGTTTTGATTTCACTTCAATCCCGAAGTCCATTAGATTTAAGTTGTGCTTGGTTCTATACCTCAATTAACCGATGAGAGGGGATAAACAAGTTTCGAACTTGTATTGTTTGAAGGGAAATTATTATGGTTTATCTTTTAACTAACCTTCAAATATCTTTAGATTAAACTTAGCTCACTACAAAGCATTTGAGTCATTAGAGGTTGATGTGTCATTTTAGAAAAGACACATGAAGAACATTTAATTAAAGGATTAACCTATCACTCAACCATTGGTTTGCTTTCTAGATAAATAAGTTATTGACTTCCTTACCTTTGTCCCAAACTCTTAGATCATTCAAATTAATTTTTTTTCTTCCAAAGTTTAACAATTTGGTTAATTACATTTATACCCTTCTTTTCTAAAAGGAATGTCAATTGGTTTCTACCTCTTACCCTCATGTTGCAATCACTTTAGAATATTGCTTGGGATCAAAATATTACGCTTTAAGATTTTAGCCCATCCTAAACCTTTTTATTTACGGGTGAAAAGGTGGAAATTACAATTTTGCCCTTAAGGCTTCTATGTTCGTAAATTTTTAACTTAAATTATGTGGGCTGGAAAATTTGTTGACCTATCGTTCATGTAATTAATTGAAATTCAAGAGACGAAATCACATTTTTTTCTGATTTTTATTTTAATTTTTATAATTACTTCAATTTAAAAATGAGAATTTCCAAAGTGAATTCATTTAATCAACAAAGGTATACATTTTGTCCCTAGGAAAATTATTGGAGGTTCAACTAGGTAAGAGGACCACTTGGACCAAATTTGATGATTTTTTTAATTATGTGTTAATTATTATAATTATTTATTTATTTTGGTGGTTAATTAAATAGAAAATACATTTTTTTTTAAAAAGTCAATTTATATTTTTTCTTTGATCCCTCTTACTTCAATGAACTCGAAGAAAATTATTTGATATTTTCTGATTTTTATTTTATTTTCTAAAATTATTTAAGTGAAAATTAGGAAAAATACATTTTAGGCATTTAAAAATACATAACTTTATTAAGAAAATTAAGAAAAATATTTTAAATGGTCCCAAGTGGCCAGGAAACAATTTGTGACATTTCTATATATTTTCATAATTTTGAGATTATTTTGAAATTTTCTTTCTATAATATTATTTTATGGAGAAAATAGCCCAAAAATTGGCTTTTTATTTAAAGCTTAATTTTATTTTATTTGGATGCCCCTGGTCAAAAGGAACACGCTAAACCATTTTTCACAATTTTCTTGATTATATTTTATTTATTATAATTATTTTAGTGCAAAAATCTCATTTATCTTGAAAAATATACTTTGATATTTAAAACAATTCAAATGGGTTTCAAATTTTTACAATGCTTAATATATTTTATTTTGAATTTATTTTGATCCATTTTCAAAATTTTAAACCATCGAAAATAAAAGTAAATTAATTGGTTTATTAATGTGACACAAACGATCAAATCGAACTCAAAGTTGAGCCAAATTCAATTATTTGTCAATATAGTTTAACTTTTTTAAACATTAATTAAATTTAATAAAAATCAAATAATTAATTATACAGCATTAATTAACTTGAGGTTTAAGAAATCCAAGAAATAGTTCAAATTGGCTTAAAAAATCTAAACTAAAAGTCCATAAATTATTCTAAGAAATTTGAGTACAGAAAAAAAAAGACTAATTTATTATTTAATATTAATAATTAAACAAAATAAATCACATGAAAATCGAAGAAAATTCAAATAATACTAAAAAATATATAGAAGCACCAATGGATTATCCCAAATCTCTTTTGTAATTTTCATACTTAAAATAATTAATTATAATTAATAAATAAATTGAAAATTTAAAGTATTTAAAATTTAAAGAAGAAATTCCAATGAATCACAAATTGTAATGGTAAAAATTCTAATTATGGCTCTCTAGTGATTTACATAACATTTGGTATTAATTAAAGTCTTAATTTAAATTTATATTATAAAATAATATAAAATTACCAATTGTTCAATATAATTCAAAATAACTCCACATCTTTTTGAGAATAGTTGTGAGTCACACTTGCACAACATGAAAAGTGCTATAACCGACGGCTTAAATTTTTCTGGTAAAAATATCTTATTTTTGGATGGGTTTACGACGGCTTATGTGTTTAGTTATTCCCAAAGACATTTCAAGAGAAAATAACATCGCTTACCAAAAATATATTAGTTTACGATTGTTTTTATTGTAAATGATGTATTTCACTGTCGTTTATAAACACATAATAACCGACGTCATATGTCGTCGGTTATTTACGAACTCAACATTTGGCGGGGCATTAACCGACAAGTTGTTTTGGTAACTAAAGATTAATATTGTTGGTATTAATGTTAATAACATACGGAGTTAAAGCCATAAAAAAGAATCTTTTATACTGCAAAAATTCACTACATCCCAGAACTTGACTTAATCCCCGATCCCTCTCGGACAACTACAGCGACTCACCCGCTCCAACGCTCAAATGTATTGTTAGATGCTCCTATTGACATACACCAAGCCGGGTTGATACTAATTATTGTGTAAGACAAAGTGGTAAACAAAATCACGTAAGAAAAAAATAATTAAATACGGTGTGCATTACGCGGTTCCGCTCAATTCTACCTATGTCTACGGGAGAGAATATTCCATTATCACCATATAAGGAGAAAGAAAGAAAAGAAAATGAGGCTGAAATAGGGTTACAACTCTACACACAAAATTTGCCCTAACCCCTCCCATAAATAAGAGAGGATTAGAGCATATTAATAAGAAAATAGAAAATGACTTATTCGCCTTCTTTCAAAAATAAGTCTTGAATACAACAAATGTAAGATTATTTAAAGATTCCTATTTTATTTTTTTGGTTCTATAGCTTTTGTCTATATTTAAATTGGATATATTTATATTTTAGCTCTACTTTAACTTTAAAATATTCTATTTTAATTGGTGTTTACTTTTCTTTGACCTACAATGAATTTAATGTTCATTAATTTTGTTAAAATTCATCTTTTAATATTTTTAATAATAAACAAAGAAATTAGTTAAATTTACTATATTATTTGAATTATTCATTTTCTTTTATCTATACAAAGCCTATGTTAGTAAATTTATTTAAACAACATATAACCGAAATATATCAACTCACATATCTAGCATCATCAATTAAATATTTATATTTATATATTTATACCGTCATAAAATCATTAAACACAACTATTCTTTCGAAGTTATTGTTCTCAATTAAGGTTAGTTGTATGCTTAGAGCTTTGTCCAATTATAAATGGGACTGACTTGACTGAATTATAAAATGAAATCGTAGAACCTTAATATGAAATATCATTTGGGTAGTTGGAAATGCTTGAACAGATGGAGTTAATTTGGAGTGAAAAAACCAAAAAAATTAAAATAATAATAATAATAATAACTTCTGATTTGTTGTTTAATTGCTACTTCCGCTTGCTCAGCCAACTTTTTCGAGGAAAAATTATTGCAAGGCCGGGGTCAATTAGTGAAAAAAATATTGTGTTCAGAATCAGGACGCAATGAAAGTCTAGAAGACAAACGGACGCGATTCTCCTGAAGAGAGGTAAAACAAAAAGCCTCGCCAGCCCATGTATTGTGCTCGGGCCTATTTCTTAGTATTGTTTATGATTATTAATATGGAAATATACCATAAATATGAGATAGAAAGATTATTAAACTACCTAATATTGTACATTTATATCAAAATTGAATGGCCTTGATTAAATAATAAATTGTTTATGACATAAATGCAATATAATTGAAATATTTTGGAGTGTTTGGTTTGATATAAGATATATGCAAGGATTTAAATTTTTGTGTTTGATTTGAGGAAAATTAAAATTAAAGCATTATCATCACCAACGATGAGAGGCAATAATTTTAAACATTTTATGCATTCTCTTATAAACATGACAGTCTGAGACATACAATAAGAGAAATCAATCTTAGCCAAATCACTTCACAATAACACAAAATAATTTGCAGCATAAATAAATATTTACGAATAATATTTGAAAAAAAAAGAGTCTCATAACAGTCAGTGTCTGCACTCTGCACGAATCATCAAAAATCTTATTACCAAGTACTAATTGCACCATAAAATAATATATTTAGCTTCATTCAAATAATTAAAACCTTTATCTAAACATAAGAATTTAGAAAGAGATTCCAAAATTTTTGAAGAGCAGTAACTTATTGCTAGATTCTTGATAGGCGGAACGTTTAGCATTCAATCTTCGACATGGATGCCCGTCACTGCCCTACAGTTGCTACTGGCTGATTCTAACACCCCGGATGATGTCAATCATATCAAAAAATTCTTCAGGATATATTCTCCGGTCGCTACATACATAGAAGACGACTATGTCTTTAGCACGAAGCTCCATCTCATTCACAAACAAGCTCCAACCCATAGTAATTACAAAACTCTGAATACGAGTCATGTAAATATAATGAAACGCCCATGTCTTATTCATTCTATCGTTAAACTCAAGCCAAAATTGGGCTCTGTCGGATCTGAATGGCGGAAAGAAGGGTAAAACATAATTGGGTAAAATCAACATGTTTTGATTCTCAAGGTCAGTGGAAGTCAGCTCTTTATGGTAAATTTTCTTATAAAAGACCCCTTGGAAGGTATCCAGGCAAGTAGGCATTGCTATAGAGTCACTATAACAGTAGGCACGGTGTTGATTCGAAACAAACTGGATCAACCTGTGTTCGTAAGAGCCATCCATAATCATATGAACAATGGCTTCATTGGTGTAATTGCTCTGAAAAGCGGGTTCATGAATAGTGGCATTCGTTAATAAAAAGTTACGGGCGAAATCATTGCCGTGCTGTGTTATGGCCACGCTATCGTAAGCTCGTGCCGCGGCTACTTCGGACTTGAACCTCCCAAGCGATATAACACGGTCCTTAAAGTAGATTTCAGCACTCCAATAGCCTTTTCTTTGGGGAACTACACCTATATACCACGTTGGCATCGTATTTACTCGTTGTCCTGCCTGCGTCGATGAAATCCTAGATGACTGGCCCTCGACAGATTGTTGTCGAGGGGGTTTCTTATTTCTCAAACGAGAACTCCTACAAAAAGGACGAACATTTTCATTTCTTTAATTTTATAAACCATCTTCCTTAGCCAACTAAAAAAGAAAAAAAAAACTATTTTCATGCATATTTTCAAGCAATGGAGTGAGTTAGAATGTTAGCCGAGACTTACATTGTTGGCGTTGAGGATTTTGATTGTATTTTGGGTTTTGACGGAGGAATGAAGGTAATGATAATTTGTGCATGGCAATCCAAAAGGTGGGAGATATAGAGGAAAATCCAGCCAAATTCTGGGCTGGAAATATGAAGAAATATATCCAAGGGGAAGTATTGGTGAGGAAGAAGCTCAGATTAAAATGGCTGGCATGTATTACCACTTCAATGTGGTGCGTGGCAGTGCAGCGGTGAGTTTGCTCCGGAGAATGAGTATTTTTATCTTACCGTTTGGAATTCATATCCTCATAGGGTTTCTTTTGCAAAAAAAAAGGTGACTGGTTCAAAGGAGTACGTTGGATATATTTGGTTAGCAATGCATGCATGGAATGTTATCATGGAATTTTATAAATCAAATGATTAATGATTTAATGAAAGTAATTAAAGATCATTTTTAACTAAAAAAATAGAAAAAAGCGACAATACTTGGATAATTAAAATAATTAAATTGAATCACCACTTATTGGAGCTGGGATAGATGAGAAAACAGAGAAAATGAAGAGAATGAGGCAGAAATGTCCTTGAAGGAGCTGAAGGGAATGTATTGAAAATCTTATGTTGTTGGTGGCCATCTCTCTCTCTCTCATTCTCTGTGGAGAAGTTCCATCTGACCCATGTAAATAGCTATTTAGTTTATAAAACAATTTAGCATTTTTTTTTGAATTGCTAGGTTTTTCTTACATGAGTTATTTAATATATATATATA